GGCTTTCTAAAAGTCTGAGACCTAATCATAGGACTATTGAACACTTCCCTCTCCTCCATGCTTACCATCACATTAATGGGGCTCCTGTGCAATAGGGGCAACAAAACAAAGGACACCAAAAGAAATTTTAGCCTCTGACAATGATGATTACAGCAAACAGTAAACACAGCCTAATCTTAGCCAGATAAACATAAATCCTCAGGTAAAAGGCCTATTCAGCGTCTTTTAACCAGTAAACCATGTTGGCTTTCAACAAAAAATTACAAGGCATACTAAAAGCAAGAAAACAAAGAAAAAAATTTTGAACCCCACCCCCACCCCACACAGTTTAAAGAGACAGACCAAGCATCAGAACCAGACTCAGATATGACAGGGATGTTGAAGTTATCAGATTGGAACTTAAAACAACTATATTAATATGCTAAGGGCTCTAGTGGAAAAAGTGAGCAACATGCAAAAACATGTGGGGTAATGTAAGCAAAGAGATGGAAATTCCAAGAAAGAATAAAAAGGAAATGCTAGAAATCAAAAACACTGTAACAGAAGTGAAGAATGCCTTTGATGTGCTAATCAATAGACAGGAAACCACCATATAAAGAATCAGTGACCCTGAAATAATATCAGTAGAAACTTCCCAAACTGAAATGCAAACCGAAAAAATAAAAAAGACTGAACAAAATATCCAAGAACTAGGGGACAATTACAAAAGGTGTTAGGTGCACATGATTGGAATACCAGAAGAACAAAGAGAGAAAGGAACAGAAGAAATACCTGAAACAATAATGTTTAAGAATTTCCCAAAATTAATGACAGACATCAAACCACAGATCCAGAAAGCACTGAAAACATCAACAGGGAAAAATAAGAAAAATCTACACATAGGCATATCATATTCTAACTGCAGAAAATCAAAGACAAAGAGAAAATCCTGAAAAAACCAGAGGAAAAAAAATACCATATCTCTAGAGGAGCAAAGATAAGAATTACTCAGAATTTTCATTTCTTCTGTCAGATCGACAAGTTCTTATTTCTGATCAATTTCTCCATTTTGTGCAAATTGTCAAATTATGTAGTTATTATTTGTGTAGTTATTTATGATATCCTCTTCTTATCGTTTTAATGTCTGTAGGATTTATAGAGATGCCCTCTTTTTCATTCATGATATTGGTAATTTGTTCTCCCTGCCCCCTTCAGTCTTGCCAAGGGTTATATCAATTAGTATGTTGGCTTTCTAATTCAATGATGTCTGCTCTTATACTTATTTCCATCTTCCTACTTTCTTTGATTGGTCTACCACTCTTTTTCTACCTTTTTGAATTGTAAATAATTGATTTTTAGCCTTTATCCTTTATAAGATATGCTTTTTATGGTAATGAATTTCCTCCTAAGCATTGCTTTAGCATTCCACAAGTTTCAATATCACATATTGATTATCAGCCAGTTCAAAATATTTTCTAGTTTCCATTTTATTTCCTTTTTGACCCATGGATTATTTAGAAATGTAGTGCTTAGGCAGTTGGAATTTTCTAGTAATATTTTTGTTATTGATAGTTTAATTTCATTATCAGAGAATATACTTTGTTTGATTTCAATCATTTGAAATTTGACATTTTATTTGTACTTGAAAAGAATGTTAACTTTGCTACTGTTGGGCATAATGTCCTATTTATTTCAGTGAGATCAATTCTGTTAATTGTGTTATCCAGATCTTCTATATCTCTACTAATTTTTTTTTTTTTGTCTATTTGTTCTATCAGCTGTTGAGAGAGGTATGTTAAAGTTTTCCACTATGGTTGTGGAGACTTTTAATTCTACCAATTTTTGCTTTATTTAGGCTCAAGTTATGTTATTAGGTGCATACAGATTTATGATTGTGGTATCTTCTGGTTGGATTGACTCTGATCCTAATGAAATGTCCCTTTTTATTTTTTGTAATGCTTCTTGCCTTAAAGTCTTTAATTAGTGTAACAGCACCAGCTTTTTTGATCAGGTTTGTGTGGTGTTATCCTTTATATCCTTTTGGTTTCTTTTTTTAATATACTTTATTTTAAATTTACTTATTTATTATTATTATTATATTTTACATTATAAGATATTGTTGTGGAGTGGTTGGAGTGGAGGGGATAAGGTGGGAAGATGAAGAAGGGGGGAGGGGAGTATGGTCGAGGCCCATGGCACCCTCCCTCATTCCAGCAGAGGAGCCCAGGGCACTTCTGGAGGTGGCCTTGTTGTTGTTGCTGGGCTGGATATGGACATTGGGGGTGTGTGGCTGAGGCCCTCAGCCCCCTCCATCCTGGTTCAGGAGGCCAAGGTGCTTCTAGTGGTGGCTCAGTGGTCGTCACTGGATTGGATGCAGACATTGGAGGGGCATGGCTGAGGCCCTCAGCCCCACCACCCCAGCTTGGCAGCCTAGGGTGCTTCAGCAGTGACTTAGTGGTCATTGCTGGGCTGGAAGTGGATGTCGGGGGGGGGGCGTTGTGTTTGAGTCCGTCATCCCCGACACCTTGGCTTGGGAGCCCAGGGTGCTTCCAGTGGTGACCGGTGGTCATTGCTGGGCTGGATGCAGGCATCAGGGGGAATGTGGCTGAGGCTCTTGGCTCTCTCCACACCCTGGCTTGGGAGCCTGGGCGACTTCTGGTCCTCCTAGGTTTTATAGGTGTTCTTTGATGCTGTTAGACCTTTACTGGTTAATATCAGAACTTTGTCTCTGATCTGTGGTTTTTTGTTTTTTCTTTCAGGTCTAAGTTGGATTATTCGCTATTCTCACCACTTAAACTCTGCACTGGAACTAATTTGTTGTCCTTTGGTTACTTCCAAAATGGGGGAACTTCCTGTGGGGACCAGCACTTGAGCCCTGTGGTTGAGCTAAATTGCTGCTTTGCTGCTGATTCTCTGGAGAAGGCTTTTTGTACAGCTCGGGTTTTAACTGTTGACCTTGTAAGTACTTCTGGGTCTTGTGAGGTCTGGTACACCTGGATTGTGTGGAAACTCTGGTCTGGACCTGAGTCTTTTCAGCAAACAGCACCCCCTGCAGTTCCATATTCCTGACCAGTCTCCACTGAGTGGTCTTGTGTTGTCTGGGGGGCAGATTAGCTGTCCATGCTGTGCCCCGGTGTTCCCCCAGAGGGCTGTCTTCCCCACTGCCCACACTCCGAACACTTCCCATGGGATGGGCCATGTGCTGGTCACTTGCAATGACTCATTGGCCTCGGAGTGGCTTCTTTTTTCAGTTGTTTGTGGCCCCTCACTCCTGTGTGGGTCCACAGGAACCCTGTTAGTGGTCTTGCTGGCCTGGGGGCCATCAAGGCCCTCTTCTCCCCCGCTGCCTCCAAGCAACCTCATACGAAGGGCACAGCTGTGGCTTTTGCCAGCTCTTGCTCCGTGTGCTCACTAAGACCTGCTTTGAAGTGGGTGGGACTCGAAATGGTCAAAGTGGTCCCTTCTTTCTCTCATTGCAGGTCCTCTTCTCTTCATGAACTTTGTAGGTCTCTCCTCTTCCCCTGAGCTCTAGCAGCCCCAGCTTGGCAGTCATTGCTTTTTAATAGTTGTAAATTGGTTGACTGTGGGAGAGGATGACACTGGGGACCGTTTATCCTGCCATCTCCATCAGAAGTCCCATCCTTTTGGTTTCAACCTTTCTGTAATCTTATATTTAAAGTGTGTTTCTTTTCAGCAGTGCATAAGTTTTTAAAAAATATAATCAGACAATTCTAGATTGGCAGGGGGTGGGGTTTCTTCAGCACCTTAAAGATGTCATTTCATTGTCTCTGGCTTCCATTGTTTCTGTTGAGAAGGGAGCTCTGTTTAATTGTTGCTACTTTGAACATAAAGTATGTTATTTTCCTCTGGCTGTATTTATAAGATTTTCTCATTACATTTTTTTCCTTCAGGAGTTTGACAATGAGGTGCTTATGTGTGTGTTTTTTAAGAAACTAAATTCCAAGTTTTATTGGGATTTCACCAGTTTTCCCATTCATGTCTTCTTTCTGTTTCAGGATCCAGTCCAGTGTCGCACACTGCATTCATTTCAGGGTTACTCAGTCTCTTTTAGTCTGTGAGTTTCTCAGGCTTTCCTTATTTTTCATGACATTGACAGTCTAGAAGAGTACTGGACAGGTTATCTGGTAAAATGCCCCATAATCTGGGTTTGTATGATGTTTTTCTCATGATTAGACTAGGGTGAAGGATAGAATATCAGAGGTGAAACCAGCCATTTCAAAGCAGGTCTTGCTGAGCACACGGAGCAAGAGCTGGCAAAAGCCGCAGCTGTGCCCTTCATATGAGGTTGCTTGGAGGCAGCAGGGGAGAAGGGGGCCTTGATGGCCCCCGGGACAACAAGACCACTAACAGGGTTCCTGTGGACCCACATAGGAGTGAGGGGCCACAAACAACTGAAAAAAGGAGCCACTCAGAAGCCAGTGAGTCATTGCAAGTGACCAGCCCTTCTCACATGATTTTGTTTTTATCCTGTGTGAGATCTGCTGAGTCTGTTGAATCTGTGAGTTGATGTGCTATGTCAGTTTTGGCCAAATGAATATTGGCAGAAGAGATACTGTGCCACTTGCAGTCCCCATCCCTATGAGGCATCACGTCTCTGCTTGCCTGTCTTGTGCTAGCATGCTGGTCCAAGGTCCCTATGACCCAAGCCTAAAAACAGTTTCAGATCCAGGGGGCCATTATTGAGCTATCTTCCCTTTTTCTCAACTGCACAGTAGGTCCAGGATCCACTGTACCATCTGCCAGTGACATCAGCCTCCGGCCCTGCCCCTCCCTGAGGCTTGGGGTGCAGGAGCAGCTGGATATATGGGCTCATATTTCTCAAGTGAGGTGGCACAGGAAACCCCAACTGTTGAGTCCTTAAGTACAGGATTTATTCGTTCTGTAGGTTAATATGTATGATGAGGCTTAAATGGAACACTGTTCGGGAAAATTTTAGCACAAATATGTTTTCTACAGAGTAAAAAATTACAAAAAGATAAAATAATTTTCTAAGAATCTCATTTCTGCTATATATGAAATGATTTATTTAAACTGTCCAACTAGCTGTTCATTGCCATGCAGCAAATTAACTGTAGATCATTAAATATGGGACAAATCAAGTTTTATTGACAATAATATTAAGTTCCTCTCGGTAATATCTGGACATCTGCAGATCATGTAGTAGGACAACCTGCCCACATAGCAAAAAAGTACTGAAGGTGCACAGCCGACCACTCTTCTGCAGCCCGGAGCAAGTACAGACAGCTGGGACAGGGAGGGATGGCTACACAGGGCGGGAGCTGTCTCTGGCCACTGTCCTTGCATCATGAATACTCCGAGCTGCAATTTCATGGGCTCCTATAAGCCCAGGACCTTTGGAGGAGTGTCAATCAGGAGAAGGAGAGGAAAAGGGGCCGTGTGTGGGATACAGTGTCATGCCTCCATGGTTACTTTCCCACCTCCACCAGCCCACATCCTGGTCCTACCCTCCACCCTATCACCCCAGACCCCATTGGCATCCAACTCCTCAAACCACTCCAACCTGGTGGTTTTACATTTTAGTCTCCCTTGTTCTATGACATGTCAGACATTTCCCATGTATAAGTCCCATGTCCCTCCAATCAGGCACTAAGCTTTGTGAGGACAGTCATTTCAGTCTCCGCTCCTCTGGCATCTTGCCCAGGTGCCAGAACGGTGCCAGTGAACTTGTGAGTATGGAAGATTCTGCACGCAATGTGCAACAGCGAAAAGAGTGAGATGGTAGTGAGGGGCACTGGGGCCAACCTGATAGAGAAGGCGGCGAAGGGTGGGGCACCCGAGCAGACCCCTTACCCTGACAAAGGCAATTCCTTCTTTGGAAGGTAAAATCAATCGTTGCTTACCCGCTCCGTCTGGTTCTGCCTCACCCGGAAAATTGGGAAAGGGTGAATGAGAAGCATCCCAGAGGCAGTGAGAGAATCCCAGTGGCCAGAGACAGGGAACCAGCATTTAGAGGATGAGGCACTGATTTTTGCTGAGCACCTACCATGGCCTAGGCACTGGGCTAGCTGCTTTGCAGACAACTTTTTTTTCATCCCTTTAAGGAGGTCTTATTTCCCCACCATTTTAGTACTGAGGAAATGGAGACTCAAAGAAGTTAATTTCTTTCTGGTCATTTAGGTGGAAGGTAAGTGAGCTGCTACTGAACTTAAGACTGTCCCATCTCCCAAGGATCTCAGATCCAGGACGTAGCTCAAGAGAGAATCTGTACCAGGTCCTAACGTTGGACAGGTAAAGTGTTAGTGCTGTTTTTCAGGAGACTCAGGGAACCTGAGAGAGAGAGAGAGAGAGAGAAACTGCGGAGATGTGTGCATGTATGTGTGCTAGGGGGTGGGGGAGGGGAGGGCATTGAAGGAAAGAAAAGTCTCATCCACATTCTACCACCTGAGCCCCACAGTAGAGGGGACTGAACTCCAGACACAAAGGGTTCCCTAAGTCTTTGATGAAGTAAGGGGTAGGCCCAGCCAAGGGCTGCGGGAGGAAGCCTAAACCATACTCCAGAGCACCAGAGCCTCACATCTCCCTTCTAGAAAGGATCCTAGACTGCGCTAGTGGTTAGGGCCTTTGGAGATCAACTCACCCATCCATCTCCTTTTACTGTGAGGAATCTGAGAGGTTAAGTGGCCAGTCCCTCTCTCTCTAATGGCTTTCTCTCAGAATTCTGAGGCCCCAGAAACCACCTACCCATTGCCCCTGCCCATCACCGGGCCACCGTGGCACCCAGACCTAGCACAGGGTCATTTAGTTCTCCACAGAGAGTGACCACTTGGAGCGAGGCTGAGAGGAGGCTGGCCCAGGCTTCCTGTCCAGTCTGGCACCAGGGCCGTGCTAGGGCAGAGCTCCACTGAAAGTCATGATGGGCAGGCAGAGGAGGGAGCAGAGGTCGGGCGCAGCCTTGGCCGGCGAGTTGGGAGGCCTCTGGGATGGTGGGCAGAGGCTGCTCTTCTCTGGCTTGTAGCAGGGTGAGACCTCACACCTGTGGGGCAGGGCAGGGGTGAGAGAAGCCCCCCCCCATCCTTCCAGCTCCTTCCAGGCCTCCAGGCTGGTGAGCAGAAACCAACCCCTTCCCTGGGACCCCACTTTGCTGAAGCAGAACTGAGGACTCGTCTTTCCTACCTAATCACGCTCTGCAGGATCTTTCTCTCGTCCTGGTCCAGACACACGGCAAAGGGGCAGCTGTTGGTGCCGATAATCTGCACCTTGTCCACTTTGATCTGTGATGTGCTAATCTGGAAGGAAGGTCCGTGTCAGCTCCCAAAGCCCCAGCCATACAACACTGCCATTCTCTGCAGCTCCTTCTCTACACACTGCCCATCAGGGCTGGGGGGTGTGGGGGGCAGGAGTCTGGCTGGCAGCTCTTCAGGGTTAATGGCCACATCAGGGGACGGGTCCTGAGGCCTTCATCAGGCCCTGCCTCCTCTCTGGCCTCTGCCCTTTCCTGAGTCTGGAAGAAGCAATTGCCTCCTGAGAAGACCCTGCACTGCCAACCGCCCTCATTATGAGGGCCTCAGGGCACCCTGATCCCCGGACACAGAGCCCACTCTGTCTCGGACTCAGGGCTCTTCTAGAACCCACCACAGAACCTCTCCACACACACATATTCTCCCACAGACACCCCGCAGCACTCCACACCTGGGTACACCCCAAACCCACACCCCCACCTACCTTTCCTCTCCCATCCACAGGCCTGCCAGACACTGTTCTCTCACACAGCCACACACGCACACATACGTACATGCGTGCACACCCACACACGCACACACATGCTCTGATAAGTCTACTGAGGACATGGCTGGAGGGGAGGGATGCCCTTACCTGGTTGAAGCCCTTCTTGGATTTGGGGTTCTGCCTTTTCACCACTTCTGTCAAGTTTAGCATCAGGGCCTCCGTGCCAGAGTCTGGAGGGCAAGGGTGGCTCAGGCCAGGCTCAGAACACCTCACTGCCCCCCAGCCCCCACCCTGCCCGCCCCACTCACCCAGCTCCTCCTGCTTCCGGCAGGCCTTGTGGAGGTTGACGGAGGTACAGACCTTCTCCAGGTTGCTCCAGCGACTTCGTCCACTGATCGCCCCCTGGAAACATAGCACAGCCAGATCCCCTCAGCCCAGAGGCCCCTGTGTACCTGCTCTTCAAAGACCCACCAGTGACAGGGTGCAGTTGAGGCCCATGCAGCCAACTGCTTCTTCTGACTTTCTCCTTGTATCTCTCAAGGGTGCCTCAAACTCAGCATGTCCTAGACCCCAGACGTGGGCCTCTTCCTGTGTTCCCCACCTGGGAAGACGGTGCTGCCAGTCACAGAAGACTGAAATCCAGGAGCTGGGCCTCTCCTTTTCTAATCCATCCCCAAGCCCTGCTGATCACATAACTCACAGCTTTCTCTCGTTTCTTTCCATCACCACCACCACGACCCCAGTGCAGGCTGCCCACATCCCCCTTCTGGACAACCACAGCAGCCTCCTCACTGGCCTTCCTGCATTGCCTGCCAACCCCTCCGACCTGTTCTCCACTGAGCTGCCAGATCAGCTTCCAAAACTCAAATCCGATCATGTCACATGCACTCCCAGCCCCATTGCAGAGTTAAGCCCCTTTAATGGACACTCATTGCTCTTAGGACCAGGACAAAATTCTCATTGCAGTCAAGGCCCTGGGTATGCTGGCCCCACCTACTCCTTCAGCCTCACCCCATCATCACGTTCCCACCCACTCTCTCAGCTCCAGCCCCGTGCTCTCCTCTCAGTGTCCAGTGATGGTCACACTCCTTCCTACCACAGGGCCTTCACACATACTGTTTCTGCCGCCTGGAGAGCACATCCCTCTCTTCTTAACCTAATTAACTCCTCGTTTTCTTTCCAGTATTGATTCAATGACTCTTCTCAAGGAAGCTTTCTCTAGCTTTCCTGACTGTGTTGAATGCACCACTTATGGCTCTCACTTTACCAGGTACCTCTCCTTCATCCGTTTGTCACAGTTGTAATTTTACATCTTGTGGGATCGTCTAACCCATGCCTGCTACCCCTTCTAGACTGTAAGCAGATCTACTGGGACCAGGGCTGTTCTTTCTCCACTCTTGTGAACACTCCTGTACCTAGAACAACATCTGGTTGTCATAGATGTTTAACAAACACCTGGCACACAGCACTCAGTGATTATCAGTCCCTGCTGCCCACCTCCGTCACCTCCAAATGTAGAGTAGCCCCCAACCTCACTATCCATCAGCCCTTTGATCACCTGTCGTCACTCACTGCTCTCTGAGATTATTTTGGCTATTTATTCATTTTCTTGTTCCTTGTGTCTCTCCCTCGTCTAGAGAAGTTAAAGGGAGGGCCTAGCCTTCTGTGCTCACTGCTGTTCCCTGTGCCCAGCACAGAGGCAGCCTGAGCTGGTGCTAAATACCTATCTTTGGAACAGACGAAGGCAGGAAGAAAGGAAAGAAGACAGGAAAGAAATAAGAGGGCTCCCCATCTGTGGGGTGACGTGCTCAGACACCCAAGTCTTCTGGTGTCGCGTGGGCACCCCCACTCCACACCAATCCCATCTCCCCATAGACTCTGGCCTCCCCCCCCAATCTGCCACCCCTGCACCTCTCTTGCCCCAACCCTGGGGACAGACCTGGCCGACTCCTGCCCCTGACACTTCATGGAAGCTGCTGAGCGCATTCAGGTGGGGGAGAGAGGATTTGGATGCCGAGGGGGAGAGAGATGTCCCCCTCCTTTTCCCCTCTTCTCTCAGCATCCAGGGGAGCCTACTGCCGCCTTCCTGCTTAAAGACTGGGTCGGGCCCAGGAACATATAGGCGCAAGCTCTGCTGGAGGAAGGATCAGCAGCGGATCCCGAAAGGGAAGGAGCCCCGGCACTGGCCTTACCTTGCTGTAAATAATCTGTAGTGTCAGAGGGACAGCCTCCCGGTCGCCATCGATGCCCAGCCGCTTGCTGCCAGGACCTGTGCCACACACAGACCCTTCACCCCCCCTTGCTTCCAGTGCCCCAGATCCTGTAATCCCACCTCCCGGGTGACCCCGCCTCCCAGGTGATCCTGCCTCCCCAGGGCCCCGCCTCATAGGTCCCGCCTCCCCAGGGCCCCGCCTTCCCGGAGCCCCGGCTACCAGTATCTCCCCATAGACTCTGGCCTCCCCCCCCCATCTGCCACCCCTGCACCTCTTTTGCCCCAACCCTGGGGACAGACCTGGCCGACTCCTGCCCCTGATACTTCATGGAAGCTGCCGAGCGCATTCAGGTGGGGGAGAGAGGATTTGGATGCCGAGGGGGAGAGAGATGTCCCCCTCCTCTTCCCCTCTTCTCTCAGCATCCAGGGGAGCCTACTGCCGCCTTCCTGCTTAAAGACTGGGTCGGGCCCAGGAATATATAGGCGCAAGCTCTGCTGGAGGAAGGATCAGCAGCGGATCCCGAAAGGGAAGGAGCCCCGGCACTGGCCTTACCTTGCTGTAAATAATCTGTAGTGTCAGAGGGACAGCCTCCCGGTCGCCATCGATGCCCAGCCGCTTGCTGCCAGGACCTGTGCCACACACAGAACCTTCACCCCCTCTTGCTTCCAGTGCCCCAGATCCTGTAGTCCCACCTCCCGGGTGACCCCGCCTCCCAGGTGATCCTGCCTCCCCAGGGCCCCGCCTCATAGGTCCCGCCTCCCCAGGGCCCCGCCTTCCCGGAGCCCCGGCTACCAGGAGCCCCGCCTCCTAGGCTCCGCCCCCAGGGCCCCGTCTCCCCGGGACCCCGCCACCTAGTCCCCCGCCTCCACAAGGCCCCGCCTCCTAGGCCCCCTCGTCCTCAGGGCCCCACCTCCTAGGCCTCCGCCTCCCCAGGGCCCCGCCTCCTAGGCCCCCTCCTCCTCAGGGCCCCGCCTCCCCGGGGCCCCGTCTCAGGTAGTACCCACCCGAAGCCTTGATGGCGCGTGTCGCAGCAGAATGGCCCAGCTCCAGGGAGTGGATGAAGATCTCTGTCGTCTTCTCCCCGGTGACGAAGGTCAGCTGGAGAGGGCAGGAGCGTGTGCATCAGCGTACACCTCCTGGAGGCGCCCACCGGCCCCTCCAGCACGGGGCGGCTGGCTGCATGGGGTAGGAGTGGGGCCTGTAGGCCCAGATGCTGACCGTGGCCTGCCAATGAGTCTGCAGAAAAGAGGCCGTGCGGGCCGGCGGGCAGGCCTTACCTCTGTCTGATAGACCTGCAGAAGCACCGGCCGGGCGGCGAAGCGGCAGTAGTAGAGCAACATGTCGGCCAGGATGGGCAGCTGGGCAGGGGAGCCCTCCAGTGGCCGGGATTCAACCTTCAGGGACTGCTGGGGCCGGCCATGGAGCCAGCCAGAGGCACAGATGGATGGAGGGCAAGGGAAAGAACATGAGAGGAAGAGGGGCAAAGACACACATACCCAGGGGCAGAGAGAAGAGACAGAGAGGCGGACAGGGCCAGGGAGGGAGATGGTGAGATGCAAGCAGGAGGCAGGGTCCATGGTCCAGCCTCCACAGCCCTCCCTCAGCTGACACATGGGCCTCCAGGGAGGCTTGATCAAGTTGGACAATGTCAGGAGTTTAGGAAGGGGGCTGAAATCTAAGGTCCCCTGGGCCCTTCTGAGAACCCTTTCCTGTCACTGCAGTGATCCTAGCTCTTGTCCCCAGTGCCTTGGGTCCAGGCTCAGTCCTGCTTCTCACTCACCCAACCTGCTCTTTTCCAAGAGAGCCCTGGTCTTCCACGGAGGTCTCCAGCTGGATTCCCCAAACCCAGGGCCTTCTAAGTGAGCTGGGTGGCTGCAGCCAGTGAGCTCTCTCCTCCTACCCCAGGGGCCACAAACCTGGCACAGGACTTCAGGGGGCAGGTGCATGAGGCCCAGCACGTTGCGCTCATACCAGGGGTCAAGCATGCCAAGGTAGTGAGAGATGTCGTTGGTGCTCTCCTCCCATGGGGCTGTGCGCAGCTCCTGGGGCAAGGGATGAGAGTCACTCCCAGCTACCCGGCAGGCCTGCTCATCCTAGCTCCAGGGCCCAGGACAGTGCCTGCAGCCCCAAGCTGAGCTTCTTGCCCTTGGAGAAGTATGACAACTTTCAGTATTTGTTACATGGCAAAATGTCATACTCAAATGCAGGGCAGGGACCTGGGAGTGAGGGCCAGGCAGGAGAAGGTGCCCCATAAACACAGGTGATAGCTTTTGGTGACTTCCAACCAGCTTTCTTCAGGTAACTAGATCCCACTCATGTCCATTCTACTTTCCCACCCCATTTGGTCCAGGGCTGGGGACATACTGCAGGGCTGGGGTGCTTTGGGGAGTCCGTGGGAAGTGGGGGCATCTGGCTTGGGGGGGCTGGGCAGGCACCAGAGCTGGTCCCACGATTTCGCTTCACAGGCACGTAGAAGAACTGAAGCTTGAAGAACCGTGTGAGGAGCGGGCGATTGTTCTCCAGCCGTCTGGCAAGAAGAAGATGGTGAAAAGGGAACCCTTGGTCCCTCTGGGACCCTAAGCCTCTGGCCTCAGATTCCAGGGCAGAGCAATACCCCCAATTGCGGCTCTTACCGAAGGTTGCTATAGGCCCGAGCCACCTTCCCTGAAATCCGATCGGAGCCAAAGACCACAACACGTAGTGTGGAAGCCTTGGGGTCCTCGTCCCCACTGAGGAAGGGACGGCGGCGCTGGTGGCGTGAGGCAGGGGCTAGGAGCCAGCTGGGCAGCTGGGTGCTGAGCTTGGGCTGGGGCAGGGAGCGGGAGCGCTGGGCACGGGAGGGGGGCAGTGCCAAGTTGTCCAGGGGGTTGCAGAGGCTCTCCGCCCGGCGCAGGGGCAGGGCCTTGTCCGAGCTGCCCTCCAGGCCCCGAGAGTCCCTCCGCAGTACCAGCTGGCTGGTACTCTTAAATAGTTTATAGATCCTGTTGAACTTCTGCCCCGGCCTGCGGTGACCCCGGCGTTCCTGGCTGCCAGGCCTCTTAGGCCACTCAGGGGAGCTCTCCTCGCTGTCCTCCACATAGCCACTGTCCACGCCGTCCGAAAGGCCTGAGACAAAGGAGGTCAGCAACTGGCGAGAGAGGGATGGCCCTGAGGCCTGGGAGGAGGCAAAGGACAGGGTAGAGTCGTGGGACATCACAGAGTTCATGGAGAGCAGTGAGTCCCTCTCTGCACAATGCCCGTCAGTTTCCAAGTCCTCCTCCTCCTCTTCCTCCTCCTCTTCATCGTCCCCCAGGATCCCTGGCTGGAGCAGCTCCTGTTCCTTGAGCAGGATTTCCTGCAGAATGTCTGCAGGGAAGCAAGGGGCAGCACCGTCTGGGTGTCTGGGCTTTTGCGTCCCCTCTTGCATACCCTTGTGGAGGTGGTGACAGGCTGAGGCAGAATTGAGAAGGAGCAGAAGGGGGGTGGGGCCAGCCTACGCCTCATAGCCCTGCTCCCTGAGCCTGCTCTAGTGGAGGAGGATTGGGGGCGGGGGGAGGTGGGGAGGCAGCTGCACAGACCCAGGACTAGAAAGACAGCTCAGGCAGTTTGGGGGATGGGTGCCACCAGGGCCCAGCTGGCTCCTTACCAAAGCTGTCCTGGTTCCAGCTGTAGGTGTAGCACCTGGCAACAGGGATGGGGATGGTTCGGAGTTTCCCAGGTTTTGCAGTGTCTAGAAGAACAGGGAGCACAGGAGACGAGGGCTGGGAAGGGGCCTTGGCAATTGGAAAAGAGACTGGAGTTGGGAAAGGACCGGCACGAGGACAGTCAGCTGGATGGGCCAAGGCTGAGATAGAGCTGGGATGCCTGGCTCTCAGCTGGAGGGACTTCCTCTCAAGCACACCATGCAGAAGCCACGTAGATAACTTTACTAGCTGTGTGAATGTGGCCAAGTCACAACTGCTGAACCTCACTTTACAATGTCCAAATGGAAAAATAACAGTACTATCCCATAAAGTTTTTATGAGAAATATGGTAGCGCGGACAGCTATGTCCCTCCACATCTGTTCCCTTATTCTATGGTGGTAGAATTGGAGAGGGGATGTTTCCCAGGCTCTCTGGGGGCAAGATGTGGCCATGTGACTAAGGTAGGATCCAAGGGACACAGGTGGAAGTGATGTGGGCCACTTTTGTGTTATCTTCAACAAGAAAACCAAGCCCCTTGCCCTCAGTGAATACTCTCTTTCCCTCCTCCCACAAGACACCAACATGATGGAAATCCAGCTGTGATCCTGAAGATAGGAATGATGCCCTAGAGGATGGTGCAGCAACAAGATGCTGAAGAACCTGGGCCCCTGAATGACTGTGTGGAGCAGAGTCAGCAGTCTGACTGGACTGTGAGCCTTGGGAGCTAGAGCAGGCAATGGGGACAGTGGGCACAGCCTCACTCTCTGAAGAGCCTCACCTAATACTCCAGAGAAGCCAGCTTTTTCTCCCACTGCCTGCAGCTTGGTCCTGAGCCACTGCCGGGCCTCTGCTACATCCCCGATGCCAGATGCCAGCTCCTGTGCCTCTGCAGTCTCTGCGAAGATGTCCTCAAGCTCTGCCAGGGTCTTGGACTGAAAGCCCAGGAGGAGACAGTACATGGTACAGTGCTCCTATACCATGGCCTGGCTGCCCGCCTTTTCCAGCCCCCAGGGTCTTACTGAGGACAGCAGTGACCAGTCCCCTCCCTGGCCCAATCATCCACCTCTACCAACAGCTGGCTAGGGAGCCAGGCCTCCCCCTCACCCCTCAGTCTCAGAAATGGTTAGGAGAGAAAGGCCCGAGCCATAGCACTGCAGTTGGGAGGGACTTCAGAGCTCCTCACTGCACCCCAGAGAAGGGAAGGGGCTCTCTAGGATGACACAGCTGACCTGCCACAGAGTCAGGATTAGAAGCTAGGTCTTCAGTCCAAAGCTCATTCCCATTCCCATGGCATATGCTATCTTCTGAGGCACCAGGCACTGGCACCCAGCCCACTGCCCACAGTGCCACCTACTCTAGTCAGGATCCAACACACCAGAAACCTCCACAAGGCCAGCCCTCCAGCCACTGCCCTGCCATGTCACTCAGGGTGAGGAAGGCTAGTGAACCCCAGAGACTGCAGCCAAGATGGAGCAGAGAGGGGGCTCTGTCTCTCCAGAGGAGTGCTCTGCCGGAGCCCCAAGGCCCCAGGTACATACCTGCAGCCTGCAGTGCAGGCCTGGGAGGTCACAGTGGGCCCCAAACGTGGCCTGGAAGGCATGCAGGAGCAGGGTGGTGTAGGCACTGTGGGGTGAGTGTCCAGGTGTGCTCAGCTTGTCGGCCACAGCAAGGAACTCGGCCTGCACCTCCACTGGGTTTAGCAGTAGCACAGTGCTGGGGGCACAGGGGACTGTGGTGTGTGACTGCACCTGGGGGGTGGGCAGCATGCCCAGGTGCAGCCACACATCTGTGCCTCCTGGTGCTCAGCTCCACTGAGGCCCAGGCCTCCTCACAGCCCAGGCACGGCCTGGAAGTGTCAGCAGAAGGCCAGGGCAGAGGCTGTTGGCTCCAGGGTCCCAGTTCCAAGGGGAGAGCTTGTGGCCTACTTTTGAGTATTTTTCAGTGGATGTCTTCAAAGACCTTTCCAAAATTGAACTTAATTTTTTAAAATAAAATTTACCTTAATTTTTCCTATGGGAAATCTAAGTGCATGCAAGATTACTCAAAAGATTATATTTTAGGCGAGGTGACTTTGAGCCAGGCGACCTTTTCTCAGGGGGAAGGGAGGAGCAGGCAGCCACATACTGTCATGCAGTTTGGCCTGGGGCCAATTGGCCTGAAAGTCCTCATGCGGTGAGGGGCTGCATCTACCCAGGGGAAGGGGGCCACATCAGGGCTGCATCTTGCTCACTCCTCCCCTCAAGGGGGACACCTTTTCTAATTAGCCCATGGCTGTCACACAGGCTAGGATCGGGCTAGGAGGAGTGTGTGCCCAGCCACCTCTACCTCCCTTCTTGCTGGACACCTGGGTTCCCTTTTGGTGCCAGTGTTTAAATTTCTTGATTATGGAAACTTTCAAAATACCCAAATGTTAAGAGAATCATGGGCACTGAAGTGTGGATCTGCCAACCCCTCTGTGTCTGCATATCTCGAAGCTGGAGTTCAAAGTATTACATCTGGGGATGCTGTAGTATGAACCGCTTGTAGTTGCTCTCACTTTCTCACAATTCTGTGACCCTGCTGGTGGCATTCCCTCCAGGCTCTGTGGACGTCTTTCAGGGCACAGAGACAGGACCAGTCTCTGTCATAGTCCCCATCATTTGGGGAGAAACTATTTTTGATTTCTCTATTCATGAGAAAAAGGAGGTGGGCTTGCATAGGGGCCCCCTTACTGAGCCCCTCTCCCTTGGTAAGTGCTTGATCATTCCTTCCACAGGCAGGTATGAGCACCGCTGTGTGCAGGACAAGACCAGCCAGGCCCCTGCCCTCACCAGCTTGCACGATTTCTCTGCCAGAGAACTAATCATCAGTCCCAATCTATAGATAATGAAAGGGTGACCATCCCCAACCCTAAGCTCTTTCTACCAACCTCTCCATGCCTCAGTCCCCTTATGTGAAAAATCCCTTTTTCTCAGATTTACAAGAGGATTAGGTAAATCAACACGTGTAGTGAAACTCAGCACAGTGCCTGAGCCCAGGAAGTGCCTAAAAGGTGGTGGCGATTCACCAGCCCACCTGCCCCACCCCTGGCAGTATCTTACTTACTCACTAAACTACAACATTTTTATGGCCATCCTGTCTCTCTCAACATCTAACCAAGGCTTTTTTGTTTGTTTGTTTTTACCTAGAAGGACTTAAGAGGTGCTTGCTCAGTGCTATGAATGGGAAGTGAACCGCTGGAGCTGAGGATGGGGAGGGACAGGGGTGTAGGGAGGGGTACAATTTCTGAGCCTGGGAGGTGGGGTCCCAGGGCTCTCAACATGTAAAGGGGAGACCTTCAGAGGGTCCTCAAAGGGCGCCTTGTCTCTAGCGCTTTTCAAACTGAAAGTCAGGACCCATGAATGGGTAATGAAATCAATTTGGGAAGTCACACCCAGAATTTGTTTTTTTAAATGGAATAGAAGAGAATAGGACAGAGCTTATTCTTGTAGTAGGGGTAAGTTTCATTTTATGAAACTTGTTTCAGGTGTGTGTCTGTGTGTCTGTGTCTGTGTACCAGGCTATCCTATAGAACGTATTTTTTTTATTGTAGGTACTAGTCAAAAAAGTTTGGAAATTCTGTTTTTAGTAACAGGCAGAAAGACGCTGTGGAAAGAGCAAGGGTTTTTGAGTTAAACTGAGTTTCAAATCCTGGCTCGGACACTTACTAGCTGTGTGACCTTAGAGAAGTTACTTGGCCTCTCTGACCTCCAGTTTCCTCATCTGAAAAGTAGGGATAAAGTGAGAGGCAATATGTGCCCAACCAGCATGACTGATGTAAATCCCTTTAAGCATCTGATGAAAGACCCTCAGCCCAGAAAAATGAACCTATGCACAAAATATCACCAGTAATTCTAGGGGGTTCCTGTTCCCCTTGAAGCCAGTTTATTGGTGGCTGGGGTAGGCAGGGGTGTGGTGATGGGGGGAATGCCAGATGCATGGGCAGGGCAGGAGGGACGAGGGGACATGGTAAAACATTTGGGGGCCCCGACCTCCCCCATTTCTCCTTCCCCCAAGGGCACTCACACGGTGGAACTGCGGTGACTCCTGATGGGCAGGCCCTGCTCAGCCCTCACGAGGCGCTGGTAGGAGATTCCTGTGGGCAGATGACAAAGAGAGAGTTTGTGGGCTCATGTGTTCCTCCGGCATCATGACCTCGTGCCTCACGACGATCCAGGCACTGGAGAACCGGTCAGAAGTTCCAGGATGAGGCTCAGGGAACTCCAGGGAGGAAAGCTGCTGTTTGGGCCCTCCCATCTGTGTTTCCATTTACTCATCGCAAGTAATCCCTGCCCTGTGAGACCACAGCCTCCAGTCCCCCAAATCTGTCCTAGGCCTTGTGCTCCTCTGGATCACCTTGGCCTCTTGGGCTGCCCTCCCTTCTTGAGGGCTGCCCACTCCCCTCTTGGCCATTCTGCCCAAGCCCCGTCCCCAGGCTTGGGGTGGCCTGACTGGAGACACAAGGATGCAGGGTTAGAGCCTGGGTCAAAAGCCTGAGTTCTATCCTGGCTCTTCTGCGTGGCCTTGTACAGGTCACTTGATCCCTGGGCCTGTTACCCCTTATAAGGGGCAGATTAGATCGGTGGCTTCTGAGGCCTTTAACAGTCTATGATTCCCAGGCCCCACTTCGGCTCTTCAGAGATGGAGAGGCAGAGCATGGTGGGAGGGAGAACCCGGGTCCAGCAGGCTGTCCAGTTGTTCCTGGGTCCCCGTCACCAATCCCTTCTGACTGTGCCGGGTGTCTTCCTGCAGTGGATGTGCCAGGGACCCCTCAGCCTCAGTTCCAGCCAGGCAGCGAGTTTCCAATCTCCCAGCCTTCCTGCATCTTCTCAGGGGACTGCTGTCTTCTCTAAGTCTCCAACCTTAGTTCCTCCTCCCAGCCCGCATCCCTGTCCTCTTCCTCCCCATCTCCTCTGACTTCAAACATGCCAGAAAGAAACAAACCAAAAGTTTTCTCTTTTTTTCTGCAACTCGACTCTGTTCTGTAGCTGGAAAGTTGTGTCTTTACACTATGTTGTCAGTTTCCATGTCAACCACGATTAGGACATTAAACAACAGTTCTCCTCATCGACCAAGGTAAACAGAGGCAGGGGTTGGGGATTTAGTGGAATGTGGGTGGGCCCCCTTCTTGTCAGAGCTTGGGAAAAGACATGGGGGGGTCCCTGTCAGGAGCAGAGCCCCCTGGACTGGAGTGGAGCTGGGAACCAGAAGGACATCCCCTCTGATAAGTGCAAGCCAAGACTGGGGGTTCAGAGACAGCTACAAACAGAAGGGCCATAATTCTTATTTAGTAAATGGCAGAAAATTACCAAATTATGGTATTCTAACTTGGAAATTTATTGTTTTGATTTGGGGCATTTTTGCGTAATGTTTACTTTTTGTAATTGTCACATGTTTAGAAGTTAATGTTGTCTATTTTGCTAGCGAAGTCCCTGAAACAGTGGCTGTTACTATCAGGACTTGGGACGCCATCTGGTGGCTGCTCGCATGCATTACAGAGAAGAGCTCCCCTTGCCACCCCCTAGGAGCCCCCCAGTATAATACCAGTTACCATAGCGGAGACAAACGGATATTCCCAGTTTCTCTGACCACAAAATTCACAGACAAGCAAAATCTTCTCTTGACCTTATTTTGCTTTTCTTTTGCTAATAATGTTTTTTTAAACAGGTAACCCACACCTTCCTGACCCCACTTCTTCACCCCCAGTTCTCCCCCTGTTAACCCAGGACATGCCACTGGTCATACTCTGCTGTGCAGTCACTCTCTGTCCACATCAGGTTTCCTCCAAAATGCCTGGCAATTGGCTTCTAGTCCCACTGCCCTCCTGAAGCTGCTCTCCTGAAGCTTACCAACATTTTCCCAGTCTCCAAACCACCAGCTTACTGGCTCATTCTCCTTGAACTTTTGATTTTGGAGTGTTTGATACCATTGACAGCTTTCTCCCTATAGCCTTCTTCTTTAGTCTCCATGGCAAGGAACATTCTCTCACATCTTATGTTTCTACACCTGTGTATCTCAGGATACTCTAACAGTCTCATTTGGGATTGCGCTACACTTTGAGCTGGAGGCTGCTTCACGTTAGCTATGTGGAATCCGTGTAACTGTCTTATTTGCTACACAAATGGGGGACCTTTAGGAGGACATCCGTGCCTCTTGGCACACCCTGACCCAGAGGGAGTTGTTTCCAGAGCTGGATGGCCAGTGATGAATATCCAAGATACCCAACAGTTCCCAAGCGGAGCATACAATCATCAGATAAAACTCCCCACCCGGGGCCGGCCCGGTGGCGCACTGCTACAGTGCGCCGCTTGAGAGCGCGGTGGTGCTCCCGCCGAGGGTTCGGATCCCACATACAGACCGGCCGCTCACTGGCTGAGCGAGGTGCGGGCGCGACACCGAGGGTTGCGATCCGTTGCCGGTCATGAAAAAAGACAAAAAGGGAAAGAAAAAAAAAAAAAACTCCCCACCCGTCAAATCCTGCTCCGTGGCCTCTCTCGGTAATGGGCCCTACTGTTTATCCTGGGGTGTTGGGTTTGGGGGTAATGGATTGGTGGCCTGGGGCCTGAGCTGGGAACAAATTTAAAAAGACGGCAACAGGGAGGGAGGCTTTAGTTCTATAAACTTTTGTAAAAACTGCCACCTTTGAGCCAGGCTTAGAAATTATCTTGCCAAGTTCCCATTTGCTGGTGTACGTGGTAAGGTTGGAAATGTCTCCCAGCATCCTGCAGGCCAGACAGGCCTTGGTTTTCATTACCTGTGGCACCAGAGAGGCCCCGACTGGGTGTGTGGCATCAGTCCCGGGACCACCCTTAACTCCACCCTGCACTCCCTCCTCAGGGAGGCTGCCCTGGGGAGCCACGGGTCAAAGGACACCTCTGTCCCTTTGATCTTAGATCAGACTTTCCCTTGGTCACTTTGGCAGGTGGGAACAACTCTCTGGGATAGGTTTCTTGGTCAAGACTGGTGCAAGGGCTAAACAGGAAACTTGCCAGTTTGTTCCTGTGTCAGGTCCCAGCAAGTAGGAAATACAGGAGCCACTTCATATGGGCAAAGAATGGGTACTGGCGGGGTGGGTGCAAGGGGCAGTTATGGTGAAGTTCAACTCTTGCCTGGGCATTTGAGACCCTTCACCATTGAGCCTTGTTTTCCCATCTGAGAGTCCACTCTTTTTTGAAGTTGCAAATAGATGGCAATTCTGCAGAGAGCAGCTGACCAGGAAGACCGAGGACGCATGAAAATCATGACTACTGTCACTGAACAAGAACTGGTATTGAGCTAACAATACTCTTACACAGATGCCCGTGCTGAGGGTGTTGTGAGGTGCATGGCATAGGTGAGGTGAGGTAGGCAGTGAACATTTCGGCTCAGTTTTCTCTTACAAGACAAACACCAACATTCCACAGCACCATCAGTGTTACTGTGAACAGGGTCCAGACTTAACTAGATCGTGATCACCAAATGAGACTATGCCCTGTTAGTTCTCCAGTATCTGTAATTAATATCAACTCATGGTTGGCAGGCTGAGTCCAATCTATATCAGACCCTGACCCAAACACAAGGCACGACACTCCCGGTTGCTCTTATACTTTCCTCCCAACTGGGGGTCCCATGAATAGCACCTTCCTGCTCCCCATCTCCGGAGCCCTAGATTCCAGACAGGCTGGACGAATTGGGGACTCAGGGCCATGTGGCCTGAGCAGGCCAGGGCAGCAAGGTGAAGCACAGCCTTCAGGTGAATAAAAGAAGGTGGGAGAGACATGTCAAGGAAGGCGTGGGATGCCTGGCAGCTGGGAGTCTGGGAGCAGAGAGGTGGATGGTGAGCAGGGATGTGGCCAGGAAGCCAACAGAAAACGCCAAGGGGAAAGAGACCACCGGGCAGACCTCCACGTGGCCAGAGTAGATTTTGAGTTCATGGAATCAACAGGCCAACAATAACAAGCCACACTCGCTGCGTGGACAAGTGCGGTAACCCCACGGAAACGCCTGTGGGATGAGGTCCCCAGCTTTGCAGAGGCCCCAGTCCTGCGGGTTGAGTGAAGGGAGACCTGCCACACCAGCCCTTCCACCACCCTGCTGAGAGTCACCCTAACAGGACCAATCTGGGTTTTCCAGGCCACTCTTGTAAGTCAGGCATGTATGGCAGAGGCTTCCAGGCATCTACCAACATCCATCCGCCTTTCTTCTTCACTAATGGGATACTGGGCAGTGTACTGAGTTGATAAGTCACATTTCTCAACCTCCCTTGCAGAAGGTGTTGGCAGGGAGGGGGTCCCTGTTTTGTAACCCTCCTTATTTCCTCCTTTCTGTTAACTGGAATGTGGACACAATGGGCAGCTCTCCAGCAGCCATCTCAAACCATAAAGTGACCTTGAGGACAATGTCTCCTGCTAAGGATGGTGGAGCAGAAAGATGGGAGAAGACTGGTTTAGGATGTTCATGAGGCCACCATGCCAGCACTGGACTGCCTTTTCCAGATGTGTGTGTGTGTGTGTGTGTGTGTGTGTGTGTGTGTGTGTAAGAGAAAGATAAACTTCTGTGAGTTTAAGCCATTGTTATTTTGAGTCGCCTGCTACAAGCAGCCAGCTTAGTCCTAACTAACTACACCTGTGATTTCTGGAATATCTGCTCCCCACTCTTTTAACTAAATCTCCCCCACCTATTAGTCAATGATGTTTGACATTACTTCAAGGGTCTAAACATTTCATTCCATAATCAGAGACAAAAAGTATAAAATGCAAATGTCTATAATCAGTCATGTCCGAAGAGAAATTTCTTGCCACTGCAGAATATTCAGAATTTACCCACCACCAGTCGATAGGCAAACCTGACCTAACCCAGGTTTGTTCCTGCTCTGACAGGGGGTCAAAGAGAAGGAAGGCACTAAGCATCCAAAAGGGAAAGAGGCAGGAGAAATTCCCAAGAGAGGAAAGGGCTTACAAAAAGACAGCCAGGACAGGGCAGGGTCTTTCAGTCACCCCAGTCCTGTCTATGCCTCTTGGTAGATGGACAGCTTTATGCAGCTTTATGAAAAGAACAGGATATGGCTTTTGGAGTCAAACAGACATGGGTTCAGTGGTACAGCTCTTGCTAGCTGTG